CATCTTTGTAGCTGTAGTCAGGCATCACTTGTAAAATAATATGGTGGTGTAGCGGTGTACTGTGGCGTTTTCGTCACGGTTCCTTTCAACCCACACTCTGTAGACACTTTTTCTCGTGGCCTCTTTTGTGGCAGCATTTTTGTTGTGGATTCTTTTTTCTTCCTCATGTTCCTTGCTCAGATAGATGGAACGGTGACCAACTCCTTGCTGATTGTGACTTGTAACATTGAGTTTGGCTTGAAGTAATCAGCCTGTTCTTCACCTTTCAATTACAAACATTTTGAGCATTTAGAAATCCTCGTAAGTGGACTGATGCAGTTAGCAGCTTCTGTCGCAGTGTTTCAGATCAGTGGCAGATGCCCAAAGTTTTTCTTGTGGCTTTTAGCAGTTTGAGGAAAGTGTTACAACTTTCATCATCTACTTTTGCCAAATGGATCAAATGATTCCAGTTGCCAGGAAGATAAAAATCAGCACTCTGGAATCTTCTTTAATCTGGTTTGTTGGGTTTTTTTCTGGATATGGAATGGAACAAATGGAGAATTATCAACCCTGCTTGAGAGACTGCTGCCTGTTGGTTGCATTTGCTGGGTGGGTTGGTTTTTTCCTTGCTGTGTATTTCAAAATTAAATTGCTGGGTTTTTTGAATTGAGTCTGCAGGCAACACATCCTTCAGTCTGTTCTCATTGCAGTTCAGAATGAATGTAAATTAAATACAAATTAAGTATATGTATGTGTATCTATTTTTGTACGTAGCTAGAAGATGTTATTCCTTCTGGGGAGTAATAGTTTTGTAGTTCAGATACACTTTAATAGACTTCAACATCATCTTTTTAATCTTTGTCTAGTTCTAATTTTTAAAAGATTCCTCAATCATAGGGTTTTTTAAAAACTGGTCTCAGTCAACTTTTATTTCCCTTATTTGCAATGTTTTTTCTTACATCTGTTTATTGTTTTCCCTAATATGACTAGTGGATGCATCATAGTTGCTGTTTGCCATATGTGAGCAATTTTGCCCATAATTGTGGATCCGAGATGGGACAGAGGCAAGAGTGGTGGTATTTTTGCTGGTTTTGGGGTAGTTTGTTTTTTTGGTTTTGGGTGGGGTTTTTTTCCCCTGTAGTTTTAATGTATGGGTCTTATAGACTGGACAGCCTCCCCCTTTTTTTATTTGTCCTTCTATTTAGGCTTAATTTATGTTGAAACCTGCTTTACTATATTTCAAGAAAGAGTAAAAGCCCCATTAATTGAAGCAAAAGCCCCATTAGTGGAAGCAATTGGGTTGAAACTGACCAAATAGTTGTCTCATTTTATTTGTTTTTGTTTTCTGGGGGAAGAAAAATGAGGTAAATAACTCTTCTATTTTTGTGATTTATCTACAATTGAAACGCTTGATTTTTGGAAAGTGTGGTCAGTTCAAGGATGTGCTGTCAGTTAATTAAAGAAAGAAATCCCTACTTCTTTCCTAATTTATTAATTCTATCTTCTGTCCAAAGGAAAGCAGCTAAAGTAGGCAGAACCAGCAACATAGGTAGGAACAATAGTCTGGGTTTCTTTTCCCCTTCACGTAATACTGCCAAATGCACATCTTCAGGACTTCCTCTGGATTGTGGGACCCTGTCCATGTTTTATATTTCTCATAGGTGATTTCTGGTAGACACACAGGGACAAACTGAGTATACAGATCTCATGAAGAGCTTGTTTAGATTAAGGCTGATGTTGTGCTGGTAGTTTTGTTGTCAGCGTAGTTTTAGCATTGTTATCCGGGGTGGTGTCTCAGAAGTGTGAGGGAGCAGGGGCTTATAGCAGCATGTGCTCTCACAGTAGGAAAGCTAATGTGTAGGGTAGGGAGAGAAGGGGAAAGTGAGACATAGGAAAGGAGAGAAGGTTAATGGATGCCCCATTCAAGTCATTCTGAGTGTGTCACGATCATGAAACTATTTAAACTCTGATGTGACCTACCTTGAATTTTTGGTTCTCTGAGCTATTAGAACTTGGCTTCATCTCAGTAGAGTTTGAGAATACCCAGGGATGAAGAGCATAGAAGTACCACTGGACACTTGCCCTTGGATTGGGTCAGATTGGCTGCTGATTCTGGCTTGGTGATAAGAGGGTTTAATAAATGCTAATTTCTTCCAAAAGTGCCCCCTTTGATCCTCCATTCTTGTGGTAGGGGAATCCATGAGGCATCTGCCACTGCATACTATAGCGCCTGACTCTGAAAAAAGTTCCTTGCTTAAGGCTGTGGTATTACATGTATTCTGTTACAGTGATTCTGTTTGTTTATGGATGTTTTTACATTGTTTTAACCTGGCTTGTAATTGACCACGGTCTATGGTTGCAAACTTACGCTGATCTATGTATGTGAGTTTAATATCACCTCTGTATTTTAAATGGTAAAAGTGTATGCTGTCCTGGTCTATAGTGCTTCCTCTACTGCGTTCATTTTCTGCCCTGGTTCATGGGCAGAAACATAACTGGCTTCACAGGTTAGTGATTGCTCTCAGTGGATCGTCTTTACCTCTTCACTCAGACTCATGTTTCCTTTATTTTCTGGGACAATTTCAATTAATACTTTCTTGAAATGAATAAATCGAAAAGATTTTTTTTCTCCAGGTTCTCTGAAAGTTCAGGCAGAATGCTCTCTGTCAGTTGCTCTCAGCTCCTGGTGGAGGTATTTTTCATCTCAGTAGCAGCTAGAGTGGCATATTTTAAAAGAGAAGGACTGCAGAAGGTAGTGTGACATAGAAGGTTTGGGTCTTTTTTGGTGACCACCACCCCAGGTCAAACCCCAGAACAGACTGACTTAGAAAGATGTAGGCCTGGGGAAAGAAGATAGATGGATTTTTTTTTTTTGTAAGTACCTTGGTAAAGTTAAGATTGGTTTGACAGCCTTAACCTGTATTTTGATGAATTAAAGCATGCTTTAATGTTTCATATTCTGCTTTTTTCTTTTTTTTTTAAAGGAAAAAGCAATTCCTAATACTGGTAAAAGTGTTTATAAGTCATATTAAAAATTACACATAGAAGGTAATTTAATTTCTGAAGTAGTGCATAGCACCGATGTGTATGTACATGCTGCTTATGTTTATAATGCACACTGTTTATACCGCTTGCTTTAATCTTGTTCTTTGGTAATGGCTTACCAACCAATAAGAAAGGAGAAAAATCAAACAACCCTGGAATATAAACTGAAAAGACGTAAGTGTTGTGTTACAGGGTAATGTATTGGCTTTAAAAAAATCAAAAAAACCAAACAACCCAAACATGAAGAAAACCACAAAACAATGGATTGTGTGAAAATGAAAAAAGCTCAAAGTAGCAAACAAGCATCTATTTGCGATAAAGACGGCAATTGTACTCCATATTTTAGGATTGAGGTCTCTGTGAGTTGGTGAGCACTTCACAGTGGGATGCAGGAATTCACATTCTCTAGAAGTCTGATTTGGGGGCAACTGCTGAGAAGGAGAGTATCTGAGGGAATAAGCCAGGAAAGTGAGGAGCTAGAGAGTAGGTAAGGAGCAGTGAAGTAGAGAAGAAAGTAGACCAAGGGCTTAAGCAGGTGAATGTTGCCAGATTTTGGTAGGTTGATTTGACCTGTTAATACCCTGCCCCATCAGTTGGATATTACCATCCCTGTGATATGCCAGTTCCTTGGCTTTTCCTGTTCGCGTAATGGGTTTGTAAAACAAGCAGCTGTCTGCAGCAGGCAATGCACGTTGGCTTCTAATGCCCTGCTGCAGCCTGTGAAAGGGGTGGTGGGGTACATCTTTCTAACGTGGTCTGAGTGAGATTTGACAGAGCTTATCTGCAAGAGTCATGAGGGTAGGCAGGGGACTGTCATGTGGAAGGAGAAAAATATGTAGGAGAGGTAGTGAGGTAAGTGGTGAGAGAGCTTAGAAAGATAACAAAATGGGGACGATGCTCTATCTTTCATATTTGTGGAGACAGAGGTTTAGAGAGGTGAGAAAGATGTAAACTCATCAAAGTTTGGGGCACTGAACAAGTCATCTGCTGTGTGTTACTGGGAATTTAAAGTGAAATTTTGAACAAGAAAAAGCCACTAAGAGACGGGGAACGAAGTCTCTCTTAATGGTCAAACATAAAGAATTATAAGAAGAGCTGCTGAAAAACAGTGCAACTTCTTTAGCCTCCTGTTTGTCGTGCAGTCTGCCTGTGAATTTATATTGCTTGGGTTTGGAAGTATTGTTTGAGAGGCGTTCTTTGTTTTTATCCCTTCAACCAAAAGCAGTGCAAAGGATCTACCACTGTCAAGGGGTATCAGAAAGACTGTTCAAGAATAACATTGTTCAGTGTGTAGATCTTAAGCAGCTCCAAGGTCTCTGTACCCTTCTCTGAGGCTGTGCAGCTGCCTACATGGAGTATTTGAAAGGATTATTTTAAACTTGCTCTCTTTCTTCTTTATGGATGTAGAACCTGGAACAGTGCTCTAATAGCATCTTCTAGTGCAGAGCTGTCTTCTGAAAATCCCTCTGTTCTCTTTCTTAACAAATACCAACGTTTAGGACCTAAGAATTTGCTGTTCTTTTCCCTTTTACTCCCCTCTTAGGTTTCCTGTTTTTCTGCTCTTCATCTCTTGCCTCTTTTCCGTGCTCTAAGAACTCAATATGTAGTACCCGTGTGCTTTGGCAAATTTGCCCTCCTGTGAAATTATGTTTTAAACTTCCATCGAGCCTGTAGAAGACCTACAAACCAATGACTGGGGGAATGCTTTTAGAAGGAGTAGGGGCAAAAAAGTAAGAGGAGACGGATGGTTTCTTCAGCTCTGGTACATGCAGGTTTTGTGTTTCAACACTGTCCCTTTGTACAAAAGATGCAGAAATTTGTTTACCTCTTGAAGCATCTGTGAATACTGTTTGGCATACTTGCTTCCAGTATGTACTGTAGCATTTCTCAGGTTATGGTTTCTTCCTATTACTAGCTGCTCTATGATTATATATTACATATCTCATTAAGTCTCACTTCTTTCCTTCTCTTGACAGCTGCAAATCAAAAAGAGCCCTTGACTCCTAAATTTAAAGTGAAAGAGGAGCCTAAGGATGAAGAAGCTGCAAGTTCAGCCTTGTCTCAGTCCAGCTATGTGTTCAGCCAGGAGTCCGAAGCCTCAGCTCCAAATGTCCCTGAGGAGAAACTCAAGCCACAGGAAGCGCAGGCAAATGTGATGAGGCAGGACATGTCAGTCAAGGCAGCATCTGAGCTCCTCATGAAGCTCTCAGGTAGATATTTAATTTAATAATATTCAACTTCTTAATTTTTTTTTTTTGTGTATGCTAGCAGGGTTACCTTGCAGAAGGAATGTTTAGCTTTAGTAGCAAGTGAAGGAACAATTGAAAAGGTCTGTCTGCACAGGTTTATATACGTAAGACACTGCAGTTTTGTCTGTCACCATAGTATCTAATTATTTGTGCTCTGGTTTTCAACTTAATGACTATAGGATAAGTCAAAAGAAAAGATGCCTTAAAGCTTTTAGAAGCTGTCAGTTTTAAAATGTACCAAAACATGTTAATACCAATTTATTCACGTGTCACTTCATTAACATCTTAAGAATGTGTTTCTATACTGAACTATACGTGATATAGCTTTATAAATGATGATTTTTGAAGCCTTTTATTTTTTCTGACAATATCTTGTACTCAAAATTATATGATAACACTGTTAAAAAATAAACTGAGCCAGCTTTCTCCTGGTAGGGAGACCACTTGAACTTGCCTGCATTGCCTTAGTGATACATCCTTCTGCCAGACAAGTAGACAGTATGCATGTGTATACACATATTTACTGTTGCAGCTGGATGGAGTAAAATAAAAATGTGTGTTCTGCTAATTATGATTTGTCTAACTGTCAGAATTAAGGAAAGTAAAAGGGTTGAATTCGCCCTGCTGGGAAGAGGCTGAGTGAGTGATGAAAAGGCTTTGAACTTCTAATAGGCTTTAAATTTTAGGACCAAGATGTGAAAGTCAGTCTGGGAGGCTGGGTTTCATACTTTTCCACCTAAACTGGATCAGTTAGTTTTAAGTCTTCTCCAAAACTGGACAAGACTTACTTTTTTTAAGTATGCCGAAGTCACGCAAGAGCTTCCAGTGGAAATGCTTACAAGTTTAGTAACTTCTGAGATCCCTTCCAAACCTATCTGAAATTACTTGGCTTGATTGGATACTGTCAACATTGAATTTGAGCTCAAATTTATATCTGAAAGACTATAACTGACTAGGATCTCCCCCATAAATTCTAACACGTAATTAATTCACTCATGTTCATACCTGCAAACTTTAATTTGCTGAAGAATTTGAATCCTTGATTTGCCAGACTTCTGTGTTAATGGTGCAAAAAGTGCCTCCCAGGTACAAAAGTTGATCAGAGCAGAGATTTCCCAATTTTTCACAGACTCCCAAATACTAAACATTTGGTTATTGATGTAGTGCACTGTTGCTGCTGGTAACTGGTTCCAGTATGGTGTTCTGGTAACAGAACTTTACAGCCTAATGAATGTTAACCTGTGACTTTATTTTTCTTGGTGCATATAAATTTATATAACTATTTTCGTAAAGAAAGGGCTCCATAACTTAATGATTTCTCAAGTACTTCAGAGACACTAGGGTTCTTGATTGTGAATCTTGAATTCAGCACTGTCAGGCTGTGTTTAAATAGTTTTATTACAGGCTAAAGTATTAGAATATTTGTGCCTTAAATATCTGTTTATATGAGTGAAATCTGGCATGTATAAAATCTTGGTCAAATCTACAGTCACTTCTGTTGGGAACTCCCAGTCTTTAAAGGCTGTAGTAAGAAGTGCACTAGTTTAACATTTCTCTTACGATCTCTTAGTGATTGAGCAGATTTTGCTGATAGTGGTCTTTTTGGTTAATCTGTAGATTAGAAGGTAAAGAATTACTCTAGGATATACTCTGTTGGTATTGCTGCGGTTGGTATTCCTGAATCAGCCAGTGGGTGGGGTTATACCAAGTTTATCACATACACTTTTCAACTTGCACTTTTCTGAATTACCATCTAAGGCAGAAACTATAAAGGAGGAAAACACTAAGATACAGTTTAATGTAGGACAAATATAAGAGGAATATCTAAGATCAATAGCCTCTTTAGTGTTTTTTTTAATGTTTACTTTATCTGGTAGAATACTCTGAGATCACTGTTGACTTCCCAGCTTATCTTAAGCAGTTCTGCACTCTGTTTTTGATGATTTAGAACTTAAACAATTAAGCCACTTCTTCAGAATAAAGTGAAAACAGAAGAAACTTCCTCCATTTTCCTGGTACTGGAAGGAGAGGGGAAAAAAGGGGGGGGGGGGAAGGAATGAGTATGTCTGCATGTTCTACTGTCTGTGGGAAAACTTCAGTCAAGTGCCCTTATTAGATTTGATATATTATATAATTGGGTTTAAGTCAGGTCCTTCTGGGTTCTATATATTCTTGGTAAAGACTGAATGGATTACATTCTCACTTTTTTATTTTCACTTTCTTCTATGTAACACTAATTACCAAAACCTGCACTGCGTAGAAGTTCAGCAAGGGATTTCCAACATAATAGTATTTTGTTTTCTGCATTCCTGACATACATGCTTCTGTTACCCCCCTGAGCAATAATATTGCCGATTGTGGCAGCCTCATGGGAACCTCTTGGCATTTAGGCACAGACCTTGCTGTCTCCTTTTGTGCGAAGCATACACTGGTTTATATTTTTCACTGGGAAATCTGTATTCCCAAACAGAGATGTTGTGTTGCTAGCTCATTGCTGAGCTTGTACGGTGTAGTGGAAGGCCTTTCCAGCTCTGGAGCCTAGTTTGGGCTGGTGCATACTATAAGAAAGACTAAGTGCAAATCACCAGCCTCTATAATGGAGGGACTTGTCAGCCACTCAGAAACTACTCTAAAGCTAGGAAAAGTTAGAAGAATAAACGTATTTTACTGTAGTAGAACATTAACAGAACATTTTCTAGCTGTCGTTGTAGAGGTAGGTGTACAGAAATGAGAAAAATCACATGCAGCTGTCTATTTCAGTTATACTACGCAAGGCGCTCTCTTCTCTTGTTAAGCTAAAAAGCTGTCAGGACACTTGTGTGCTTCTAGCAGCCCACAAACAGTGTTTAAGATCAGGCCCTTACCCTGCATATTACTTCGGTGGAGTTAGACCTTATCTGGAGATGCTATGCCCTTTTATACCAGTTTTTTCTCCCCTGTGTTCCACTTGGATTCAGATCTTCTACCTCACAGTTCACAAACTTGATACCTAGTCACTTGATACCTAGTCACACTTCTTCCAAAGGGTTATTCAAGCTGAGAAGGCTAATGTCGCTTGGGCATGTCTAGGCAGAACCCATTTCCATCCAGATAGTCAACACAAAACTTCCTAACAATGGATCTGCTATTTAAAAATAAATGAAATGCCCATTTGGAAGAAATGGTCTTTCGGGGTTAACAGCCAACGTTTAAGCCCCAATGCAGACTGTCAACTTGCATTTTACAGAAGAACATAAAATGACTACCATGATTTATACAAATGTACAAAGGTGAGCTGTGAATTCTGTCCATTACTAAGTCTTGACTGAGACTAGATCCAATGGTAAGCAAACAGATTTGAGGAGATAGTGGAGTAGGGCAAATCGCTCTCATCTCTGTCTGGAAGGGTGCCATCCCTGCAAGATTTTAAATTCCTATTAAATATTGCACAAAATCACTTACTAAGAAATGGAAGTAATGTATTTCAAATGACACCTGAACCAGTTTTCTACATTCTCACTAGTTCTCTTTCATGGAAAAGCTAATTTGTTTCTCAAAATGTTTAATTAAGTGCTGTACCCAGTGATCCCTGGGCAGTTTTATACACTCAGTCTTGTAAATTGAAAGGTAGGTTTCAGAGGAGACTGATATTTAAAATAAATGTTTGCATTTACATGCTAATGTTTGAGTCTAAAAACTAATTTTCTGTTGAAATAGTCATGCTGCTAATATGTTTTGGGCATGTATTACCTTTCAGAAGCATATAGTGTTTTGCCTTCTTGTCCAAAAATGAATGCATAGCTGGAGGTGTATAAAATCTATTCCAGGTACTAGCATTTTATAAGTAATATTTTACCCTGGTGCCTTGAACTATGACATTAGTATGTCCCCATCTTTCCTAGAAATGCTGTCTGAATCACATTTGCCTTTATTTCAGCTAGATCTTATTTGTGAAATGTAGTCATTTTGCATTTCAGTAGTAACTCAGGTTGTTTTCCTCTTTTTTTTCAGTGGATCAATTCCCCATGTATTGCACATATCCTTGTTATCACTAGCAAATGCATGACCTTTGTGCTATCCAGTTCCTTTGGATTTTTTGTACTTCAGTCCTTGGGTCACACAGTGCTTCTTGTAATACACCAATTCCCCAGTACCAACAATGTGTCATGATTTTGGGTTACCAGCAGGTGCAGTTAGTGCATACTTACTTTTTGTGCCAAGGTCATGAAGTAAAATGTTGCATGCAGTTGATTCCAAAAGCATTCCTGATCAACTCTGTTTATTATCACCTAATTATATGAGAATTCCTCTTTCAGCACAACTGGCCATTGCAGGGGTTTGGTGGTTGGTTTTTTTTTCCTTTTTTGATTAAGACTTTATCCACTTGAAAATGTTTATGCTGATTTCATATTTCATGCCTTGTAGTTAATTTTTTGACCCTATATCTTATGTTTAACTGAAACCACATGGATTAGACATTCTATTTTAAAAGAGGAAGAAAAAGAAAAATGAATGATAATACAATTCTAGCATAAGATGAAGGCCAGAACACCTGAATGCTACTCCCATTCAAAAAATGGCACATTGTGTGTTAGGGCACAGTAAGGTGAAGGACTATCTGAGAAGGCTTTAAATTAGCTCATATTAAAACCAGTCCAGTCACAACAGCACAGACTTCAGAGTAACTAAGTAACAATATCAGTTTAAAAAGTTTGCTAACTAGGAGTGCTACCTATGGGTGTGTGGCTGGACAGCTGATGTCAGATTTACCTCATTTTAAGGCTTGGGTGACGTTATGCTTGGCTGTCATCAGCAATGCGAATTGACAACAAAAATGAGTCCATGGCTAGTAAGCTATTATTCTTAGTAGTCACAAAATCTTCCCAGGTTTAGTGGGTTGTGTTGGCAGTCTTTTGGTTTATTGTTACTATGGTGAAGAAAAAGTACGTTACTACATTCTTTGGGTGAGACAGGGGACAGAG